ACGAGCCGCGAAGCCGCAGATTTTGGAAGGGAGATCTGTGAAAGAAGCGTGTGGGCCGGCTCCGAGGATGTTGGCGCAGCGAGACAGCCTGGGAGTGCAGCGCGAGGATGCGAAAAAGAGGGGGTCTCTTCAGGTGCAGGAGCTTCCCTCAAGTCCGCCCTGGCTTGCAGGAGCTTGCTCGCCGTGAGGCTGAGCTCAAGGCGCGTGCCCCATGTCAGAGGGTGACGGTGGAAATGCGAGTTCTTGTGACAGGTGCAGCAGTTAGAGCTCGAGAAGCAGCGATGGCAAGCCTCTGACGACATCTCGGGGTCGGCTCCAGTTCAGGCTTGGCAGACTTGCCGACAGATCTCTCTCTGACAGGAGTCATCCCATTCCAAGTTGGCTGGAACGGAACTCTGACGGCACCATGCCCCTTGACAGCATGTTGCTCTTGGCTTTCAGTGCCCCTCCAGTCATCGCCTCCAGCAGGAATGTGGCCGTTGTTGGCAATTCAGGGGCCCGGGGCACGGCTTCTCGTCCGCGCTCTTGTCGAAGATTGCCGCAGCGGCGCAGGTGGGGAAGTCCCTTCTGATCAACAAGATGAGGCGGATAAGACCTGGTGTCCCAGACTGGGCACCCACGGGGGTCAAGGAGACAACTCTACGCTGGCAGCTTGGGGCATCTCACTCTTTCTCTGGGCTTTGTGGGCCTGGGGTGTTTTAAGCTGAGGTCCGACGGCCTATGCCTTCCCGCAGCTCGAGAAGGTCCGCTTGCCGGGAGCTCAGAGCGGAGCTGAGCCTTGGCTCTTGGCGTTTGGCCGGTCTAAGAGGTGGGATCTTCCGGGTGCCGGGACCCCCGGCTTTCCGAAGGAGTGGAGAGGGCTCGGGCTGGAGGCGGAGGCGTTCCCGAGACTGGGAGAGTTGGGAGAGTTGGGGGCAGGACAGCTACATCCGCGACATGGGCCTTCGCTACTTCGACTCTGTCCTGAGCCACGGCATAACCGAAGCATTGCGAAAACCATTGCTCGTACTGCTTTTGTGTCCCAGGATTGTCACGGCGGGACGCTTCACCTCTATAGACGAGGCCTTGCGAGCGGAGCTCGAGGCGTGCGGTGTGCCCTGGCCGCAGACATCGGAGGGGGGCCCCTGCTTCTTCTTGGATACCGCGGTTCTATTGCTACCGCCAGTGTCAGGTGCCATACTTCATGGCACCGCCCCCAGTTCCCAGCCCACCCCAAACTCTCCAGTGGAATGAGCTCGAGCATTCAGGTCAGGACCAAGATTGATCTCGATGTCTGGAACAACAAAGAGGACAACCAAATCGAGGAGGTGTCCGTGCAGTTGTCCAGACGATCATGTTGAAGGGTAGTCAGCTCTTATGAGGAATCGACACTCGAGAGTATCCGCCAAGAGCTCTACGGACTTCATGGAGCCAACGCCTTATGGCCAATGCTTGTATAAGCAGAAGCAGGGGGTCATCAGTGCATGCTGGTGAGGTTTATCGCCTGTACTTGGTATCATCCAGAGACCCAGACCGTCACCTGCTGGATATCTGACAGCGTGTCCATGGACTTCAGCGCTAGTTTGCTTCGATCTCTTCCTTAAGCCAAGGCTACGACATGCCGGCCCTCCTGGCAGATGCATTTCCTGGCGTGAGGGCGCACCTCGAAGCCACCAGTTTCCTTTTCACAGGCGAGAGTCGAAGTGCCGTCGGCTGATCGCAACTGCTATGGTGCAGAGGTGGAAAGGGAGAGTTTGGAGACTCCTGGTCCATGCCTGTTATCTGGCAGGATCCTGAGAGCGCAGCCGTGGCATCATGCCTTCCAAGTTTGACAACTCTTCCATGTTTCTGCCAAGGTCGTCCACCGTCGCAGGCCAGGTTGGTCAGCCATATGGATAGATACATAATTGTAGAGGTGGGTGGATCTGAGTTTGAGGCCAAGCAGGAAAGAAGCTTTTGCCGAGGTGTCCAGGGACAGTGGCAGGATGCCTTGGAGAATCTGCTGGGAGCTAAACGAGTGCAGAGACGTGCGTCGCCTCAGCGCCAGCATTGGTCTCTGGTCTCAGGCTGTACATAGTTGATGGCACAGATGTGCACATCACGCGTGACGACGGCCAGACAGCCATCATCCAGCTGATGGAAAGAGATGACAAGGACGGGTGGCTGACGGTTCGCGTGATGCGGCGATTTTTTTCGACCGGCTTGAATGCTGCGCCGCGCATCTGTTGTTAGGTGTGGCTTCAAGACCGCTGGTACATTGATCTGGCGCCGAACGCCTAGAATTCCAGGGGTTGCTAGCACGCCTGCACTGGCGCTTTCTTCGCCTAGACTCTAGGTGCTCTTTTGGCGAGTTTCTCCATCCCTAACTTCTTTTGGACGCAAGCTTGAAGCCCACATGCATGCCATCGAGGTCTGTGGGTAAAGCTCGTGAGTCTTCGGAGCTCCGTTGGACACCGAAAGATGCCTGGCATTGATTACGGAGAGCATCGTAAAGAAGGCGAGCTTCGCTCCATCAGAGTTAGTACCACCAGTACTGCACAGTTCTCATCACAAAGCGGTAGTCAGTACTCTGTAGGATGTCAACAAGGAGCGCTTGTCAGCAGTACCGCTGCAAGGACCTGACTGACAAGCCGCGAGTTTGGCGCTGGTGTGGATGAGCTGTCCGGATGTCATTCCCGAGCTGTACATAGAAAAACCCGAGACCCTGTACAGTTTCCCGACGTCTCCCTTCATCATTGGGTTGTGCTCTGCCCATGGGGCTAAGGCATGCAAATATCAGCCAGAGGCATGCTACCTGATTGAGCGGCATTGGTGCAGTTAGGAGCACAACGGCAGATGCAGGTGGTGTCCAAACTCCAAGTTTTGTCCACCATTGTAGGCCGCCTTACCTCCGGGAGACTTCTGATCAGGTTTTGGAGGTGCGGGCGATTCTGCACAGAAGCTGCAGACAGCTGTCTGCAGCGGCCTTGCGCAGCGTCAGCGCCACCCGAGACAAACGCGCCCCGCATCGCATAATCTCCGAGCAGGCTGCGCATCGCCACTGCAAAACGCGATGGCCCAGATGGCTTCACAAAGCCTTGTACATACAAGCGACTCTAGGCCAATTGTCGCGCAGCTGTGAAATTGAAGCTCCCTTTCGTGTCCCTAAGCATCTGCATCTTTTGGTCCACCAAGCAGTGAGTCGACAGCTTTTCGAGGTGAAGGAGCTGCTAGATGAAGCCCGGGACTATTTGGACAGTCCACAGGCAGTGAAGGTCTTCAGGTGGCGGCCTCAGTTCGTCCGGCCTTCGGAAGTTTCTGAAGATCATTGTGTTTGTTCTGGTTGTGTGTCTGCAGTCGCCTGCTAGTTTTTCCGATGCAACGGCGCCGTGATAACGTTATCTGGGGCGACGATGCCGATTGGCATGGTGATGACCGTTTTCTGATTGTCATCAGTAGTATGGTATGGCGGGCCGTGGCTTTCTTGTAGGAGACGGGGCGAGCCCGAGTGTAAAGGAGAGGGCTGAGCAGGTGCTGTGAAGCCGTGCCCTGTGCTCACAGGTTGGCCGTCCACGCCGCTGCTTACCGGCTGCCTGCGCAGCTGGCTGCGCTTCCTGGACAACCTGGTCAACAGGCAAACCCGTTTCATTTGTGCACCCGAAAGAGGATCGTCTTTCCATGTCGTGACGTCGTGCCATGCCCGGACAGGCCTCCCCGCTGCAGGCTATGTTGACGCACACCATCGCATGTGCGACTGCACATGGGGTGCTTAGTCTTCTTGCTGACACAGGTCCCGGACGGCTCGGTTAAGCTGGCCTTGCTTTTCGGCCCTTGCATCCACCTAACAAACGCCCTGCTGCAAGATGCCGAGCCCTCACTACTTCAGACTGCAAGGTTTCAGACTGTTGGGGCTGCTTTCTTCGTTCAAATCCTGTCAAGGACATGGATCGTCTCTCTGCTGCTCTGCCTCCTCTACTACTCGTAGCAAGTAGTCAAGTCGTGCTCGTACTCGTCGTGCTAGCTGTGTGTGGGGGTGGGGGGGGGGCGTGAAATGGTGACTGCAGCAGCCGTTGTCACTTTGCTCGTCACTGACCTACTCTGTTCTCCAAAGTTCCAACTCCGTGCTGCTGCTGCAGACGCCGACAGCGACGAGGGCCTCTTATCGTTCGCATGGCTGTTCAAGTCGACACGGTTGGTTTTGTTTCCGACCCCTGCTTCCAGAGCATGTGCTGCGAGCTTCGAGTATTGACGTGGTGATCTACCATGCGCACCGAGGCTGATGGCAACGGGGCCGGTGAGACTGCCACAGAGGCCTGCTGGTTGGTTGACCTCTCTTCAATTGCGTAGCGTAGCTTTTGCCGACTTTGTTGCACACACTTCCTTGCCTGACAGTAGCTGATGCCTATGAGAAACTGGCAGGCGACGGTTAGATCCTTTGCCGACCACAAAGTGCGGAACTCGACCACCACAGGAAGAGGAATACACGAAGCACAGCTTTGCCTTGAAAAGGGCTTCTGGATGCCTCCACCAAGGCCATCTCGGATTTTTGCGAGCAGATCTACAACCAGCAGCCCCTTGCGAAGTGAACCCGGCAGCCAATGCTGCAACTTAGCGTCGGAAACTTTGCCTCAAGTGAGATGAGGCAAAGCATGCAGGGCAACGTGTGCCAATCTCTGCAGAAGTCGCTTGCCACAACTGTTTAATCCTTCATGCATGCGCCTTGGTGAGGACCTGGGGAAAGGCCTAGCGCCCCTAATGTAGCGTATTGGTTCCTGCATGGGTACGGGTGCAACCGAGTCATCAGCCGTACAGCGGCACTGTGCTCCCAAGACGCTCTTGATGTTTGGAGATTGCAGCCAGAAGCTCCAGAGTTCCCTTTGCCGGTGGCCATTGGCAGATCGCCGGTGCAAAAAGAAGTAGCTCTGGCTTGGGGATGCTTAGGATGGACATCGTGGTTTTTCCTGCGGGTCTGTTAGGGTCTGTTAGGGGTCTTTGTGGTGGAGATCGGGAGCCCAGATCGCTCCAGTCCTGGCCGGACCGAGGTGGTGGTTTTCACGGCCTCGGCTAGCATCTATGCTGACAAGGTCCTGGACTTCCTGGATCCAGGACTTCACAATAGACTGTTTGGTGTCACTGGTTTCACGGTTTAGAGCTGCACATCATGTGCTCTTAGCCGTAGCTACTGAGCCGTGGATGGCTAGGACGGATTCTCATCACGCACCGCTTGTACAGAGAAGTCCTGGCCTGAGCTGCGTTGGCTCCCCTTAAAGCCTGCTCTGCGCAGCTGCACAGCAGGCTTGCACCGAGATTGCCGGGGGCCACTTCAAGGAGGGCCCCAACCGTGTCCTTTCCGCTTGGCTTAGGTGTGGCTGCTTGTGAAGTCTCAAGCTGCGCTTTCGAGCTACAAGCGCAGGACCTTCGAAAGCTCGGCAGGCCCATGAAGGCCACTTCCCTGCTGGCATGAGCGTGCGCAGAGACTCCAGCGGTGCATTCACCAAGCCTCTTGCATCTCTTACAGCATTTTGCATCATCTTCTTCAACCGCAAGCCCTCGCGTGAAGCATCATACAGCGACGTCGGAGCCAATTGAAGCACGCGAGCCAGATCATGCTCTAGGGCCCATTTCTTTTGCTCTCGGTGCATTGGCTGCGTTTCTCTCAGCACTACTTCACACCAAACCCATCGTCGGAAACTTGGAGACTTAGGCCGGCGGGATCCCAACTCCGAACCCTAAGCGCAAGCAGCAGAAGGTATGACAAATTCCCCACAGATAGCTTTCGAACAGCGGAGCCTAGATGTGGTTGAAACCCAAAGCTTTACGTCAGAGGATGTGCTTCTGGTGGACAACTCACCTTTGGCACCCGGACTTGTTCCGGAGAACGGACTTCTTGTGAAGCCCTCAGTCATCTCGGTATTTCAGGTATTTCACCATCGTGGCTAGGAGCCAGGCGAGGGCTTTACTCCTCCTTCTCGGATTGTTCAGGTGATAGGGTATTTTGGGGGGGGGTGGGTGGGGGGAGGGGGTTGGGAAAGGCTGTTTGCAGGTTATGGAGGCTTGTGTTGCCATAGCCAAGTTCTTGTCATAGTTTATTGTGTTGCTGTGGAGAGCTGCACCGACTTCCCTTTGATTTGAGTGCCTTGGGCCTTGTTTTGTGACTTCTCCAGTGTTATTATATCATGTAGAAGTCTTGCCGGTCGGTGACCTACAAGGTGTCGAGCTGGTACGGCGATGACTGGCAGGAGCCGTGTGACCATGTCGTCTTGCGGAAAGCCCGTGTCAGAACGTACATGGGCCATGAGCTTGTCCAACAGCTCAAGTGCAGAATTGACAAACCCAAGTCCAATGCAAGGCGGGCAGCTTAAGCCAGATCCTGCATATATACTACTCCTGTCAGTAATCCAGGAGTCAGCTCCTCCGAACAGCGCTTTGCGCCCCACGGCCCATGGCTTCAAACCGCGTGCACCGACTGTGTGGAGTCCAGGGCCGCCTGCAGTTTCTGGAACCCAGGGCCTTCGTCGAAGAGCTGACCCGGCAAAGCTTCGCCGTCGTCTCTTGTCCAGAGGAGCTGGCCAGGCCAGTGGCTCTGGCCATGCAGCGCGGCGAGGCTCTCCTTGGCGTTTCAGCAGCGACAGGGCTTTGCTTGACCTACAAGCGGCAGAAAGATCTCAAGCAGCGGCTTCAGGTGAGGCGCACAGGCCATGGCCTCCAGGGCCTCCAGGGCCTCCATGCCGAAGACCCAGCAATCCTGTCATCTTCCTTCGAGGTGATGGAGGCAGTGGCGCAGGTGTCGATGGAGGCGTGGTGCGATAGTCAAGGCTTCCCCTCGCAGGCGGCAAAGAGCCACTTCGGCGACCTGTCTTTCGGGGAGGAAGGATGCCCCGAGCAAGGGCATTGGGCTCCCGATAATTCCGGAGCTGCCAAAGGCAAATCGGTATTGAATCTTTACCATTACTTCAACGAAGATCCTGAAGAACCATGCCGGCAGCATGCGGATCCTGGACTCGTGACCGTCCTCTGCCGCAGTAGCACCAGGAAGGGCTTGGAGGTCCGGCTGCCCCTCGAACCCGGTGGCGCACCCGGCTTGCCTGCCACCTATGACGAGGAGTGGCAAGATGTGGAAGCAGCGACGGACCAGCACGGCGACGCCCAAGCGTCCCAAGATCCCAGGAACAGCGCGCAGGAGGAGGCCTTCTGCTTCCTCGTGATTGTGGGCGAGACCTTAGAGCGCCTAAGTGCTGGCCACCACCCAGCCTGCCTACATCGTGTGGCTCGAACAGCTGAGCCACGCTTCAATATGGCCTTCGAGCTCCGGCCCCGCTGCAATGTCTGGCACCCCTGGCAGCACCTCCTGGCTTCTCAGAGCGGACAGAAAAAGCCTGGCACTGCACTTTGACATGCACCCCGGTCCCCACCGCGACATTCCTGACCCGCGGCTGCGCAGTCTCTGCTTACCCAGGATACGGAGCTCAACAGCGTGGCCGTGCTCTTGAACAAGGCCTTCCGTGCTCGTCCCTGGCATCCACTGAGCATGTCTGGCTCTTGCAGCGTGTGGTGCTCTGCTTCTCTTGTGCGCTGCGTACTGCAAAGCTTGCTTGTTGCCGGCTCCGCGGCCATCTCAGCTTTGGGCACGGCTGTGAGACGGCCCTTGACCGAGTCTTGGCGGCAGTGGCAGAAACAGACCCTGCCTTCGTTTACTTCTGCACATGAAAGGAGCAGCCGCGCCATGTGCCGACCTTGGTTGTCAGATCGAGAGGATCCCAGGCAGGGTTTGTGTTGAAGCACGAAGATGCGCTGGAGGGAGAGGCGGCCGCGGCGCTTGCTTGGCTGCGGTCTCCTGACAGCTTTGCTTGTGCCTTGGCCCCAGCTACAGGAGAGGCTGGATGGTCAGACTTGCGCGAGCACTCAAGTGTGGAGTGATTACGGGAGGTCGTGGTCGTGTGTCAGTGCCGCGTGCTCAGACCTCGTTCAGCACTGGCCGCTAGCCGCAAGTGCAAAGCCTCTGGAAGAGTTCTCCAAAGATGCCAAGGTCAGACATCTCTCCGCTGACAGCTCTGCGCGGCAGCTTCTTGCTTGCACTGCAGCTCCGCTTGGCAAGCGATGCTGCTGGTCTACAGCATCCTGCAGTAGCATGTCGTGGCAGGACGACCTTCTCTCTGTGGAAGGTGACACCAAAGAAGCCAGCGGCAGTGGCGGCCCCGACAGACGACAGACGGAGCATGCATCAATAATCATTAGCATACAGCCACCTAGTTCGCATACCGTGCGTGTGGCACAGCCCCTCCCGCGACGACCCCAGCACTGTACCGGGCTGACCCAGAACTGCTGTTGAAGGCTTCTTGTTCCACTGCTGTTGCTCACGCCATGCAGCTCTTGAGTGCAAGCTCAATTACCCCTGCTACTTCCGCAACCATCACTGCCAGATGACAGTCTCATGGTCGTTGTTGCTGGCACCGCTACTGCCATCGCTACCGCAATCCATACCCTGCCATCGCCAGCTTCGTCATACTGACATTCAACCTCCTGAGGAGCATTAGCATGCAGCGTGCATTGGTAATCGTGAGGTTAGTGCCATCGAACAGAGCCGCCGAAACTCGGAGCATAGTGCTTGGACATGACTCGAAGCCTCGAGGCGGACGATGGCGAGGAGGAGGACGACGATGCGCCCAACAAGAAGGGGCCGGGGTCTTTGGCTGCGACCGTCCACGTGGACTCAGTGGACCAACATTATGTCGACTCACGAAGGCGATAAAAGCATTGACCCACAACTTGACATTTCAATTCCGCACGTCCTGGCCATGGAGCCCAGAAGCATCTATAAAATCCTGGTAACAAGCAAAACGAGTGCGCAGCAAAGAGGGAGTAAGGCAAGCACAAATTTTTCTCGTCAGTCACATTGTGTTTTTTGGGTGGCACCCGGGGTGTTCTTCACATGTCAACCAAATGGCGCTTTGATCCTGAGGCCCTTGGGATGGCTGCATTACGCATCTTGGCGGAAACGGTTGGAATTGAATCAGTGAGTGGTCAGACCGATTTCGCGTTCTGGCTCCAGTCGTTTCGGACTGGCTGGAGGTGTTTTTTGGGATGCCTGTTACGGGTTTTTGTGCCTGCAAAAGATTTTTAAGTTGCTGTTGGAGATCGGTCTCGCTCGGTATTTAACATTTCGCGCAATTCGTGCTGTCAGACTGTCACCCAGGATGTAATACTGGCGTCACGGACGTCATATCCAGTTGCGCTGATGGACCGCAACCTAGTCGACCCAGTCTTCCCAGGAAAGTCTGTGCACATTCATGCTGAAAGCCAGCACAGACTCACAGACGCCACTGCAACCAGAGCTTGCCTGAGATCGGCTTTACATGCTACGGCAATGTGGTTTTGCGCGGCAGCCTCGGCGACGACTTCCTGTCAGTCGACAGGCTTTGCACGAGTCATCACGAGTCCTCCATCTTGTCTCATTGATCTTGAGAGAGCGCTGATGATGTCGCCGAGTCACAGGACAAGAGAATATTAGATATTGTGACTGAAGCCTTTCCGATTCCCGATGCACGATCGGCACATCAACTCAGGCAAAGAAAGTGCCGACAAGCCCGGACCATACCATGATTCTGCGCAAGCTTTGAGATGGAACTCTAGTGGGAGCGAGGCCCTACCCATCCTGGCTGTTTGGCTGGTTGCTTGGGATGGTTTGCTATACTTATCCGGGCCTGCCCCTGAGCCACTACTCATCAACGTGTTGTATTCTGATTGTCTTCCGAAGCGTGCAGGTGCAGTTTTCTCAGACCTCTTGTTTGTACCAAACGCTCCTTTGAGCTAGCCTCAGCAGATCTGGCTGCGTTGCATGTTCCGCCACGTGATCGCTCTGTCAGGCGAGCGCTCACCAACAACAATATTCTGCTTTGGTTCAGCATCTGGTACCTGCTTATCCAAAACTCTATGTGGGCAAGAGCCTTGAAATGAGCTTCTCAAGTGTCTTGTCCGCTGCCCGGAGCGACGTGGCGTCCAGGTGTATAAGTCCCTGCAGCAGAAGCATGCCTGAGACTTGGGCTTGCCGTGGCCTTGGCGCAAAGTCTTTTGCCCTGGCTGCGGCAGGTCTTCATCTGGCTTACGACCTGGTGGCTTGCAGATGCAACTCGAGCTTCCTTACTCTTTCTGGAGCGAGCCGTTGCCCATCAGCCTGTGCCGACCACTCAGTCCGCTGGGGCTGGGGCCTCTTTTCAAACAACTTGCCGCATGCGACATGCATTGCCGAGCTCGCTTCAAAGACAAAAGCCCCCACAAATCAGTGGATGGTGCATGTGAGTAGCACGGAAAGGAAGCATGCGAAAAGAGCCTTCATCGGTTGTTGCCCCGTGCGAGGTTTGCGCGAGGTGTTTGGCAGGCCGGCTGCTGCGCTGAAAGCATGTTGCGATGGATCTGGTTCAACTGTCCGGCTACGGATCCACATACCCGGGTTACGTGCTGCACAGCTTGTCTGTGCACGTCCGGCACGTCCGTTTAGTACCGTATAGTATAACAGTGTAGTACAGGACAATCGAAGGTACCTGCAGCTACACAATCATGTCAACTACGTTGCTGCAGGCTACGTTGTTGCAACCTTTAAAGTTCTTCTAGCTCGACGCAAGCTGCGAAGCTTGAAAGTTCGTAAACCGGGCATGCAACCGAAATCTGAACGGTCTGCCAACAGCTTTGGTCAAGGCCTTCGTGTGGTGTGGTGCTGGACCCGTTGCTCGCCTAGCCAGCGGCCCAGCTTGGCTCTTTCAGCAAGTCGGACTTATCATGGACATCTCCATAGAGAGACAAGAGCGGAAAGAAGACAGGAGATTCAAGCGAACAAGGGCAGGTGGTTGCTGTTATGCTGCCCTACCAACAACAGCAGATGATATAGTGTCTGTAGTTGTCCACAGGGCATTGCGTGCGCGAGATCATCGTTCACGGATGAAGGGCTGACTCTAAATGGCAGTGTCACAGTCCTGTATTCGCATGAAATGCAGGGTGCGTGCGTGTGTGTGTGTGTGTGTCAAAGCAGTGAAGCCAGGCCCGGGTAGGGTTTGTCTCAGCATGTCCGAATCAGTAATCCAAAGGAGTAGATATGCTCGTAAGTGAGTAAGAAAGCATGTAGGCAGGTAAGTAGTCATGCAAAGAAGCGAGTAGATAAGCAAGGCGGTGAGTAGGTAGACGTAAGCGCGTAAGCCACTAAGTAGATAAGCAGTTGTAACTGGCATGTATATAGCTGGGGAAGTACAGAAGGCTAGGAAGTTACAAAGTCAACACGTAAGGCAAGGGAAGTATGAAGAAGGTCAGTTAGTAAGCAAGCAAACAAACAAGGACGTGAGCGTATAAGTCAGTGACTAAGCAAGCAAGCAAGCAAGGAATGGAAGGAACTAAGCCACTGAGCCTACTAAGGAAGTGAGTAAGTAAGTAAGCGGGTAAGCAAGCAAACGTAGGCAGGCAAGTAACTGACTAAGCACGCCAGCACATATGCTTGATTAGGTGACACTGTCGTGACAGGCCGAATTCGCAGTATGTCGCCTGGATGTTGTTGTTGAGCTGCTTTTTCTTACCTTTCTGGAGCAAGTCAACGGGGCGCGCGCGTGCTGCACGGGAAAAGGTTGGTGCCATGGACGGCCTTGCTTTTGATACTGCTGCAGGTCGAAAAATCGATCAGGGGAGAGCCCGTGCCTGCCTTGGACAAGGCCGGGGAAAGGTCCTGCGAATTTATGCTGCTATGATGGTGCTCTTGTGGTGCTGTTGGCGCTGTGGTGGTGGTGCTGCCGCCGCTCATGTTTTTGTGCTTGTCAGACTTACCGAGCATCGAGTGACCTACCTCAAAGCCATTAGTAGCAAGCCTCCCCGTCACTGTCTGCGGGCGATGGCCGCATGCGCGTGTGTGTGTGTGTGGGTGGGTGGGTGGCTGGGTGGGTGGGTGGCTGGGTGGGTGGGTTGGTGTGTGTGTGTGTGTGTGTGTTCGTTCCTGCAGCGTGCATCCAGGGCCGTTGTCAAACATGTGGTAGTTGTTCAACAAGAGTGCCTGGGACGGGGACCTGTGGTCTGGGCAGCTATAAGCAGGTGCAGCCAAACAGCCTGAACGTCTTCAAGTTTCCGCTCATTGCCATGTTCTGGAACATGATATTCTACATGCGCTGCTCTTAGCATTTTCCGTGGCCCGGTGGAAGGCTGGGTCTCCTCTCATCCTGTGCTTTCTGCAGGGTGTGCTTGGCCTACTTCACTGACTGCAAGTTCTTAGATGCAGAGCCAAAGTTGGATATGGTCCAGTGTGCCGCCAAATACGAGGACTTCCGTGAGTGACACTCCGTTGCAGAAATGGCCACCCGAGTTCTCCGGAGAGGATTTCTACGGCTTCTGTACCTACATGCCCTGCTTCTTGCATCTCTGCCGCGCATACTATGCCGCTTGTCCTGAACGAAGTGTTTGGTACGGAGATTCATCGAAAAAGGCACCGAAACATTGCCTGTTCCCGGCCCCTTCTGAGTCTCAGCCACAGACGGTTCCTCAGGCCATGTACTCCCAAGGCGGAATGGCATCGGCCTCAGCTTGAAGTTGTGTGGAAACTTCTCAAGCTTTTCTCTTTCCGAAGGTCATTTTCGGCGATGGTTTCTGCATGGGCAGCAGCAGCTTAATCCAGAAGATGTCGAGCAGACAGAATGTCGCCCGGTAAGATAGGTCAGGCCGAGAGATTTTTGGAGAAAAGGTCTCTCGTGACGGCCTTGGCAGCGCCCGTCGAATTCGAGAAGTTTCAAGTTCTCCAGTTCCATCAGTTTCAGGGCATTCTGCTGAGCTGCGGAAAGCGTGCCCTTTTGCGTTCTGCCCTGGCCAATGACCTTGCTCATAAGCAATGGCTACGGCGGCTACGTGCATGTAGTCGGTGGCCGGTCAAGGCCACCTGAAACTTTTGCCAGCACCCTTCTGCTTGGCGAGGTTCTAGCATTCATGCAGAAGAGCGATACAGTTTCGCGTGCTGGCAAGAGACGAGGGAGCACTTGCTCGGCTGGCAGTGGCGAAGCGCCAGAGCTGGCACCCTCTTGAATGCGTTGCTGCGCCAGAGAAGAAAATGGGGGAGAAGAGCAGACGTCGCTGTAATCAAAGAAGTTTTCAGGTCAAGATTTGCGAATGGCTGCGTGGGGTCTGCGCTTTGGCTCGAGCTTCAGCACTGAGCACCAGAGTGAACCGCACGAATCATGTTGGAGGGCACTCTCGGCGGGGTTGCTGGCCCACGTGCTGACTGAGGAGGATGGCTCCTGCATGCTGCAGGCCCAGCAGCCGAGGCTAAGCAAATGAAGGCCCAGCTTAAGCACGCCTTGCGTGAGAAGACCTGGAGCTGGGGCTTCTGCAAAGGCGAGCCCATGACGGAGTACTTCAATGGCTTCAAGCACGGTGACGAGATAAAGCCGAATGCCGTCAAGGGCATGACGATCACGGCCACTCGCCGTGCCACAGGGCCGGGCCCCTCCTGCTTTTAGACATGCGGGAGGATTTCCGAAGTGTGGACAAGGACTTGCAGAGATGCAAAGATTGTCGTTGGTCCGAAGACGGCAACCATGCCGAACACGCCCGACAGCCAGTTCTTGCAGGGCCAAATCAACTCCGCCGGTGGTAAGCACAAGAAGTTCCAGACGAATCAGGGCTGGGAAAAGGTGGGTGGCACTGCCGAGGTTGCGAAGTTCCTCGAGGGCCTCGAGAGCAAGCATGCCTTCATTGCTGCATCCTGCGAAGATGCCGAACGCGCAAAGGCGGAGATGAATGAAGACTGTACCTCGGACGTGTGTCGAGGTGGCGAGGAGCTTTCGGAATCGGCAGCCGAGATGCTGGCAGGTCTTGGCCAGTGAGGCAAGCAGTGACGCAGGGAGTAGCATTCTATCGGAGAAGATCCAGTTGCGGCCATGTCATCCCGCAAAGATGTCGGCGTAGGCTGAGGATGCCATTTTAAAGAAATTGCTTGTTTCGTTGTTAATAAGTTTTCCACACCGTATTCTTTAGGAATGCGCAGTGGCCTGGATTGCTGGAGTAGGCAGGTGTCATGACGCGTTTTGCAGCTGTTAAAATCGGCTGGACTTCATGATCACGCTGGGAGGGATTGCTTCGATTCGTAGATTTGCGAAGTGGAGCGTGGACGACATGAACTTTCCATCAAGCATTGCTGTGACCTGTGCAGCTCGCGGCTGCGAAATCCTTGCCGCAGTATCTGGAGCCTCTTGGAGCTACAAAGCAGAGCAAGTTTGGGAGTTTGGGGCTCCTTCGAGTGTTGAACTTGTTGGGATCTTGCAGCGCGGGCTCGAAAACGCGTCGGATCCCTTTCGGGGTCTTTTAACAGCTGAAAATTTGTCTTTCCAGTTCCTTACTGAATTTAAGATCGCCGAGGAAGTATAGCAAGCGGTAACGACTTTGCGCTGAGGCAGCGCTACGGCTTCAAGTCCTTCTTGCAGGCCTGCTCGTGCAGATTTGGGTGCTCAGAGCGCACGGGCCACCTGGCCAATATGGTTCGAGAGTCCACAGCACACATGTGGAGGATCTTGAAGTACCCAAGCCCCAAGCAGGAGCTTCGAAGTGCCTCGGTGCGCAACACCAAGCCCTTACTCAGCGCGGCGACGGCCGGGCCCACGACTCTTTGAATTTGAGCTGCCCCAAAGGCTTTCCAAGAGGATGCTACACATATGGATCATGGATGATCATGGAGCATCATCCAATGTAGGGATGTTGCAGATGTGGCCATTTCTTCAGCTCCCTCGCCAGTGCTCTTTGCATCTTGGATGCCTCCCTGCAGCCGCCTCCCCATCCAAGTTTCTCTGCAGGTCCGGCTGCAGATGTGGGGGATGAATGCTGGGAGTGCGGTAACCCAGGCAAGAGTGTGCAGGGACATGCGCATGTGCCGTATGTGTGCTTCTGCAGGAATGAAGTGGGGGGTGGGAATGTGTCAAGACATCCTTGGAAGCAAGCAAGGCTCAAACCGTACGATGGCTCATGCAGGTCGGGAGCGACCAACCTCCCATGAGTTCATTCTCACGGCACTACTATTACTTCAGCACGGACTATGCCCCAGGTGTTTCTAGGGATCCGCGTTCAAGTTAAGACAGATGTTCGTTCTAGAGCAGCATGTCAACCCCATGCCTGGATCTCAGCCGTCCGGGTTGTTGAGGGGATGGTGCTGCCATGCGTGCCGATGATCCCAGGTTTCGGCCTCCTCTGGCCTTGGCGGTCATGGCAGCCGCAGCGAAGCTGGTCACGACCGCTTGGGATGGGGCCCCAGGGTTGCTGAACGGGACGGGCAGAGAGTTCTGCTTCTGACCGAGGTCATGGACGAGCCTCTCTTGAAGAGCAGCGCAGCTCTGAACCAGGCTGCGCTGTCTTCGATCTAATTCTGGCAGGGTTCCAACCATTCTTGCCAGGAGGTGCATGGGCTGAGGACGAAAGCCAGGGCCCTTTCTTGGCCCCCATGGACTTAGCCTTTCGAGGCGCTTTCTGCTTTCCCTTCTCAGGTGCTGAGGCTACTGCTGCGGCTCTTGTTCTTGGCTCTGGCCTTGAGCCAGCTGCTGGAGGAGGGTCGGCGGGCCGGGAGATGCCGGAGGTTCCCTGAGGTTGAGCTTGCTTGCTAGTTGGGTATGGAAGACTGTGGCTCGGACGAGGTTTTGTGTCTTTTTCTTCTTTGCGACTGAGGGTGCACGTCGACACCCCACTAGTTGAATTACACTACATGCAGCTGATGTAGCTTCGAAGCCTTTTCAAGGAGATGCTGGGTAAGCTGCTTCCAAACTTTACAGCAGGTCTTTCCGAGTACTGCAAGTCAGAAATCGAACCTCGCCCCGTCTTCAAAGAAGTGCCCTGGACGAGGACTTCTTTTCCGCCATAGGCTATCTGGGTCACTTCCAGGGCTTTCAGTCCCGCGGCAGCTGCAGAAATGTTTTCTTTGTCATTTCTGGAAGAGCCAGAATGTCAGTGTCAAGGGCAATGACAGTACAGTACGAGTAGACAACGCCTCTTTACTGATTTTGTGCAAGCTGCAAAGTGCAGTGTGGTGCGGGATGCAGTTTTTCTTTTTTCCTTTTGTTCATGATTGTTCATGCAACCTCTTATCGTCGAGCAGCAGCGTTTACACGTGCTTTGCTGTTGCAACAGTCCTTACAGCATGGGAACTACAACCAAATGCAGTACACCAGTGAACGTAGCGGCGACGACTCTTGTCGATGTTCCTTTGCCTGATGCTTGTCGTCGTCCTCCTCTGCTACTGTCGCCGTCGCTAGATTCCGCCCGGAGATGGCTGCATGTATCCTAGTCCTATTCTTTCTACCGTCGGGAAAAGCAGGGATGCATCTGATTTTAGACACATCCTTCCGTTCTTTTTCTTAACTGCTGCTGCGGATGCTACGACGATGACATCATGAAGACCGCCATGCCGCGAAGGCGGCGAACACTGCTGCTCCAGCTCCTGCTTCTGCTTCCACTACTTCCCTCTCTTTCTCTCTGTCTCTGTCTCTGCCTCTGNNGCCTCGGCCTCTGCCTCTGCCTCTGCCTCTGCCTCTGCCTCTGCCTCTGCCTCTGCCTGCGTCTCTCTCTCTCTCTCTCTCTCTCTAGGTTGTCTCTCGAGATCTGTCTGTCTTGCTTTTGATCTGCTTGCCAGTGTTACATCTTACGCTGATGCTGTTTCTCTGAATTTTCCTCTCTCGTCTGCTCCTGCTGCGGCCCTTCCATGACACTACCCCGTGCCCCGTGCGCTTAGGAAGATGCATGCCTTGGCCTTGATGCTGGCCTTCAGTTCTGGCACTCAGCTCCTTTTGTCTCTGAGCGACAGGGCATCCAAGCATTCCCAGGTCCAAACACGGTGGCAGCAGTGGCTGGTATGTGGATGATTGAGGCCTGCAATTCGTCACTGGGGGGCTTGTCGCCGTGAAAGAAAGAAGCCGGCAGGTGAAAATGAGCTGGACTCATCGGCTATTCCTTCAGCCCGACATGTGCTGCCCTCGACGTCTTGGCGATGACCATATCATAGCAGCCACGCTTCTCCGGGTTGCATGCCAAGGCTCGGCGTCATCTCGGATGCCATAGCTCTCGTGGCGCCCCCAAGAACGGGCCTAGAGTCCTAAGGCTGGAAAAATGTGGAAAAGGAGAACGAAACCACGCCCTCTGAAGCTCTTTGGAAGAAGGGCGATACTGACTGGATCTGGTAAGATGTGTGGCATCTGCACGCTCACGATTATTGCTGACGGCTCCTGCTGCTGCAGATGGACATGCTATCTGCATGAACAAAATTCCACCGGTATTTTTGCTGCTGATACAACACGAGCAACGAGGACCAAAATGAAGCTTAATTTGATGATGACGCTGATGGTGATGATGATGATGATGATGATGATGATCGTGGTAATGAAGTCCACAACGGCCGCAGAGATGATGAAAACGGTGTTCATGATGTTGATGTTCAGGTCGACCCTCCTCGTCATCCTCCGCCTCATCGCCATCGTCGTAACGCCCGCAGTAAAACTTCCCGTTCAGCACTCCCATCACGCATCTACGTGTTACGATATCTTACCCTTGTCAATACCACCAAGATTCTCCAGACTGTCTTCTTGCAGGCCAGTGCTGCTATTGTTATGTTCATGTTATTGGCCGTCATGCCTGTCATGTCATGGTCATCAGATCATAAGTATGAAAAAGAATCTTGAGCATCGTTGTCGTACCTCTGGTATTTGTGCCTCACTATCCTCGCTGGCCCATAGGCTTGCTCTTGCCGTGTCACTCCGCCTTGTTGTCGTTGTTGCCTTGTCCCTTGCTATTGCTGCGACATGCCGATTGTTGCCACCAGTGTGGTTCTTGTGTGTAAGCGTGTCAAGCTTGGCTGCCTGTGGAAGCACACCCCTCCTACAGCCGGCAATGGCTGACCCCACACCTCACACTCAATCCCCCCTCACGCCTTTGCAAATCTCGCAGCCCGCCTGCTAAATCAAGCCGTCTGACTTCGAAGTATCCCGCAATAAGCCCCACCTGCCCCACCTCAACAATCTGCACCATAATTCAGAATGCGAATTTCACCACCAATCGGCCGACACAACGCAAGCCGATTGGAACAAAAACAGAAAAATACACGAAATCAGAAACAGTGCTACATGAAATTTGATCGGCAGTCTTAAGAAAGCAGAAGCTCTAAACCCAGCTACATGCTCGCATTTGAGATTCCTGTCAACATCGATTTCCTGGCAGTTGACAACGGAGGTGGGGGAAGGTGCTGCCTGGGTTCCGGGCGCAGTCGGGGCCTCTTGTTTTTTGCATTCTGGGTTTCCTGGGCCTGGTTTGTTGTTTTCTTTCGGTTTCCAAACCTGCTGTTGTAGAGTCTTTTTTTCCTTGTGTTTTTTGGGTTGGTTTTCAGCAAGAATTGCATTGAAAACAATGAGAAGGCCTGGCCGTGCCAGAGCCCGGCCGGGTGGTACCGGGTGGCCCCCCGCCCACTACCCCGTCTGCGCAGGTTCTGGGTGGGCGATGAGCTGTCGTTGTAGGTCGGCATCTAGTGTGAGACATACAAGTTGTGATGAGCAATCTTCCATTATCTCCTTTGCTGTCAGCATCATGGCTCTAGGTTTTTGGTTCGCTTATTTTATGTTTTTATCGAGTTTGCGTTTGATTTCTGGGCTAAGCCGGTTAGCCCATGCGTGCTCCTACAGCCTACAGCACTACAGTTTCTGTAGCCAGCATGGCACTGTCTTCGTGACTATCTAGCAGTGGCAGTGTCAGTCCTCAGGTGTACTGGGGTGTGCTTGGCTTCGTCTATGTCTTCCCGCTCTTCCTCTTTGGAACGACTGATGGGGATGGGTGGGTTGCTGCAGCTGGAGAATTGACTGCTAGCCAGATCATTTTATGTCGCACGGCAAGCTAAAGCCGCATATCCAGCATTGCAAATCTCAATAGCATTTTAAGCTTCGCGCGGAAGTTGCAACCTTGAAGCCTCCGTCAGTCGTGAGAGTGCTTGCCCGGCCCGGAGCCTACAAAAACTGGCAACCAGGACCCACGGCGTGCTGGGATTCTGCGCCATTCGGTGGCATCCAACCGAGACCTTGGGGGTGACGAGCCTTTTTCTTTTCGCGCTGCAGGTGATGTGCTATGCCTTCACGTACGACCTCATCACCTTCCCGTGGAGGCACGGGGACCGCGAGGACCTCGAGGATGAGCAGGCTACGTGTGCACATGTCTGCCGAGGCTGGTGACCGGACACATGGCCGACATTTGGGTGGCAGTGCCTGTGATCATCGCCGGGGCTCTGCTGGCAATGATGCCGCTTGCCTGGGCCGGGGAGGAAACGAAGCACGGGCCACGTGTTGCGGCGAGTTGCATCCCTAAGGTACGTGCTGGTGATGATGGGTGCCGGGCTGTTTTGATCCAAGAGTGGGTGTTTAATGCTAACCTTCTTTCTTAGGCTACTACTCCTTGGTGAAGTTCCGGTACCCGGACATCGCTCAGAGTGCTCCTGCGGGAGGTGGCAAAGAGAAGATTTTCAAGGCTTTCAAGGCCTGCCAGCTGCTTTTGTGGCACGGCGTCCACCCGTGCGCATGTCGCGTTGCAACTTACTCGTAGCACCCTCAATTCAAACCTCCTCTCCGTCGCCTCATTGGCTCAGGTACAGCATCTCCGAAATAAGTGATACCACAATAGACTTCCAGTTCTAGGGGGCCATAACATGAGGGCCACTGCGAGGTCTCATGCCAATTAATCATTGCTGGCACTGACCATGCCTTCGCCATCTTGGCGGCGGATGGGAGTGTCACTACGTGGGATGATGCCTCCGTGAGTGGCGACACTACAGTCGCCGGTGTAGCTTCGAGTTTAGCATCCGGCGTCCAAGCGCTGGGCGTGGGGCTTTTGCGGCTTTGAAGACAGATGGCAGCGTGATTCTTGGGGACGATCGAGCGAAGGCGGGGACTGCGGTGCAGTGTCGGCGCAGCTCACTAGTGGTGTGACAAAAATCGTCGCCGGCCTCCATACTTTCTCAGTTTTGAAGGACGATGGAAGCGCTTTCTCGTGGGGCCATGGATCTTTTGGTGGGAACTATGGATCCGCATGCTGACCTCGTCTTCTCCTCGGGGCATGCATTCGCGGCCTTGACATCCGATGCAAAACTCGTCACTTGGAGAGCGGGCAACCAAGCTGGTTTGCTGACAGTTACAGCGGATGCGACATCGCAAGCAAGCTCTGGGGTCGCAAAGGTAGGCTCGAACTGCCTGCGGTCTGCTGCAATCAAGACTGGTGGCAGTGCCTTCACATGGAGTGAGGGATCTTACAGTGGTTCGCATTCCGAGCCAGTGACGTCGGAGTTGACAAGCGGTGTCGTATCAATCATCGATGGCCATGTTGCAGACGGGCGTGTGTTGGCCGCCATGAAGTCGGATGGAAAAACTTTGGTGTGGGGCGGTCAAACATCTCGCACGTATTCACCAACGTGAAGGCAGTAACTGTCTCAACGCATGCGGCTGCAATCTCGTGCAACGATGGTACGGCGGAGGCGGTCGGTTTCTCCAGCTATGGCGGAGACGAGAGCTCTGTTTCCTCATTCTGATGCGGTGGCAGCCGACTTGGTATGCTGCGTGCAGGAGATCTTCAACACAAGAACGGCTCTCGCGGCATCGAAGAGTGATGGTCGCATCCTTGCTTGGGGGGAATCTGCGCATGGTTTCGAGACCAGGGGTGCAGAGGTTCCTTCCGGCGTGAGGCTAGTCCACGGCATCGAGTATGAGAACGACGGAGCCTTTGCAGCCGTTAAGTGGGATGGCTCTGTCGCAACGTGGGGACAAAGCAGCTTTACTGCTTGCTTACCGTCGTTGAATGTCGGGACCATCACCTCCTCCACCGCGACGGCAGTGTTGTCGACTTTGGTCGCAGTGGCAGCGCCTGCGGATCTGACACGAGCGTCGTGGCGGGTAGCTTGACATCGGGAGTGGTGGCGATTCGGGCCGCGTCTGTCTGAATTCAGAGATATTCTGCAGCCGGGCCTGTGATCCTAATCTTTCAGACAAGGGACGGGGCACATTAGGAGCTCAAGCTGCTGGTGGAACGGGTGCGAGCACGACTATACAAGTGGAGGAACGACGTGACCTAGAATTGGAACGGCCGCTGAGCTCCCTTGAGGGTCGCCCCACCAGCAAGATTCGATCTCCGGTGGAAAACAGGACAGGTGTGGGTTTGCTGCTGCTGATGATGATGTCTGCTATTGCTGCTGCTGGCTATTGTTAGCACGCTGGGTGGCGCAGCACATCTTAGCGGCGCCTTCTCAAAGAATTACAGCAGCCTGGAGCGCTCGTGTGCCAGGCTGCAGTTGTCCCATAAACCTCGCCTGACCTAGTCCAGAGAGCGAGTGCCAAAAAGCCGCCTCTCTCCCGGCTTGCTAGCTGCTCTGGGAGGATCACTGGAATCATGACATATCATGACTCCTGGCTGTTGCCGTCGTATGGTTCTCCTGCCGGCAGGACCAGATGCCGCATCAGGCTGAGCCTCAGAGTAGCAGCTCCGAAAGAGCCTCCCGAAAGTGTGATTGGTGTTCCGACAGAAGCAGTGATCTTGGCACAAGGACTTGCAAGAACGGGGAATGGGAGCTACTGTACTGCATTCTCAACAGAAAACCACGGGTTGCTTCCGAGGTGGCTGCCAGGATCTTCGGCGCCGCCAGAGATGTCGGCCTCGCCAAGCTTGGAGGGTCACCGACCGGCGAGTGGGCGACCCTGCCGACGATATCGGTTTTGCTGAATTCCCGAAAGATCCTAGCAGCACTGTGAATCTGAAGGCTGGAGATGGATTCGGCACCCTTCACGAAGGTGGAGGAGGCCTGTTGTCCTTCTCTTCTGACTCGGGACCTCGTGGCATGGGCCTTCGTGTGGGAAACTGATCAAGCGAGCCACCGGTTCTTGTTGGGGTCCGTTCCGTGCTGTCCGTGGCTTGCGATGCGGGAGCCAACGTTGACACAGTTTTGTTTTGAGATTTGGAGCTAGGGGTTTCCTCATCAGGTTCTCGCATCTTGCAAGGTGCAGGACGGTGAGAAGTGCATCCTGAACAATGAGGGCCTGATGCTGGCTTTGGCAGGGAAGGCTTGGGGACGAGAAGATATTGAAATTGTGGTATCGCGGGGTCCTTGGCCCAGGTCTTGGGATGTTTGAGTATGCCAATGGTCCAGCTTTGCGTTGTCATCGCTTCGCAGGCAGGCGAGTGCCAGTAACGCCTTCGGGCTTTGCCAACAGCACGGGTTGTGAAAAACAACAGGGGCAATAACTATAACATTAGGACTAGAGTAGTGTGAGCGACGGGAGGACTGCCAGGGACAGCGCCAGCCAATCATGACAGCATTAAACTTGTCCTCCCCGTGATCCTAACTACTATTGCGCCTGCTGCTGCTACAGCAACAGCTGCGGCGGCTACTGCTACTGCCACTGCCACTACCACTGCTGTTGCTGCTGCCGCTGCTGCTGCTGCTGCTGCTGCCACACCACCGGCTCCGTCGCCACCACCAACATCGCCACCACCGCCACCGCCACCGCCGCCGCCGCAGCCGCCACCGCCACCGCCACCGCCGCCACCGCCGCCGCCCCCACCACCACCAGCAGCAGCAGCAGCAGCAGCAGCAGCACCAGCACAACGACAACGACAAAGACGACTCCTCCTGCTAGTGCGACCAACTCCCAAAGTGTGCACGACACTGTGGCGAGAGCACGATTCGACACAGACTCGCGGAGGAATCGCATGGGACCCTGGTTCAGAAAAGCGTTGGCGGCTTGTAGGGCCTGATACCGAGTCACGCGTGAGGAGGATGTGGAGATCGCGAGCACGCGCTTCCACATGTGGCAGCAAAGTATAATTTGCATTTGGAAAGCACGAGCTATCCAGCCTATTACCAGTCTATTACCACATATGACTACACTTCGTGTAGTGCACGGTAGCGCAGCGGCTGAGTTGCTGGTAAGAAAAAGACTCTGTGACATGTTCGGTGTGAGGTTTACCTGGGTCATGGTGCCTGGGAAGCCGCCAACACCAGCTTCCAGGCCATCGTTTCGAGCTGAGGCCAAGGGTCCGAGTGCTTCCGCGGATGCCAGGAGCGGACCTGGGATCACTACTTCGATCACTCACATCCGCTGCGCTGGTTCGGAACGGCGCTGCGACTACAACCCTTCAAGCTGCTTTGGATGTACATTTAGATAGTAGTACTCGTAGTTCTGTTCAGCGGGTATGGGAATTAGCCTGCAAAGCCCGCTTGGAAGCGAGTTGCCATGGGGCAGTTCTCAAGAACCCCTTCAATATGACCACCCCTGTTCTGCCCTGTCATGTCATGATCGGGTCATAGCTGCTCTGGCACATGCCGCTTCCACAAGTGTTTGCCATGAGCTCCCGCCTCAGAGCCTCAGCCAAGCTGATGGAGCTGAGACCCCGAGAGTTGCAATGGACGTCTTTTCAGTAGACCTCGTTCTCGTCCTAGATTTGTAGATGAGACGCTCTGTTGCAGCGGCAGTCTGCGAGAGACCTCGGAGTACCTCGGGACAAAAGCGAGTGGATGTCATGCATCGTTTGATATGTTCCGAAAGGTTGTGCTCAACAAAACCTGTTAGCCAGGTTAGAAGGAGGTGAGCGTCTTCTTCGTGAGCCCGTGGGGCGCCTGCACATCCGCAACCAAAGAAAAGGCGTTGACAATTGCACACGCGTAATGGAAGGAAGCGAATCCATGTGAATCCGTTCAAGCCGAATGACTTTATTTGGACTGACTTTGACTTAACTCATGCTGGGTAGTTCATCTTTCTTCTGATGAGCGAGCTCGAGGAGGGATGCTTTGTCCTTTCGCTTGTAGTCACTTCTGTCTGTTGCCTGCCATCATTGCCTGTGGCATGCTGACAGCTCAGTGAGTGGACGAATGGCAGCGCTAGCTGACGCCAAGGCTGCCCTGCCACAGGCAAGATGTCAGAAAGCGCGCACGATGACGGGTTGGAAGTTGCGTGCACGCGCGACACGGGATACATGAAGAATTGTGCAATCAGTCCGAGGGTCTTGGCGTCAGATGGTTGTATCGTGGTTGTGACACATCTTGTTTCAGTTGCAGGTCATGGAAAAGGCGCAGCCCGCAGAAGGACAGTGGATGTTTCTCGTATCTGGGCTCGAAGCGGAGGGACGTTGCAGTTCGCAGCCCAACGTGCTGTCCAAAGCCTTGTGCTGCACTGGACTGCAGACGGCTCAATATCAGATCAGGTGCATCCGTCTTGGGGTAACCGTTGCACAGCAGCATAGAGCAGCCCAGCCGACTCCAACATCACAACGCCTCAGCAGATGCGTCTCGCCTACCCGGCCTACCACTAGTTGGAAATAAGAACGTAAGACATTTGCTCGGAGCAGAAAGGACCCGTTTCACCCTCAGTCTGCGAGATGATGCAGCTCTGATCTGCAAGAGCAGAGAATGGTGGGCTCCAAGAGTGACATCCTGTCAATGCGCCACCAGCCAAGAATCAGCATGCCCAGTGGCTTCCGTCGATTCTTTTCCCTCCGTGTGCTTCGGTTCTGTTCTCTAGGGGATTCCAGCTTCGAGGCTCGGGCTCCTATGCCCTGCTGCCCACCGGCGACCAAGACTCGCCAACACAAAAGGCAGCAAGCATGGCCGAGTCAAGAATACGGGCTGTCAGCGTGCTGGACTCGCAGCGCCAGGACAGAGGAAATCCATGTCAGCACCCTCACATGTGGAACACCGGAAGCAGCCAAAGCTGCATGAAGCGCTGTCGCGACTAATTCGGCGCAAATCCCGAACGGGAGCTAGTATTTCTACGTGGCACTGCAGTGAGGAACAAGTAAGTGCTTGCGCATGATTTCAGTACTGCCAGCTTGTCGGATCACGGAGCCTCTCCAGGACCGTCCTCTCCGCATGACCTCAATCGCTAGTGGCTTGGAAGATGAAGAGAAGCCATGGGGCTGGGACATGCTCAACGAGGACGAGTGCGCGCAAGCACCAGCTCCTAGGTAGTAGGTAGTTGGTATTCGGTTGTCGGTAGTCCGTAGTCGTAGTCGTCGTAGTAGGTGGCGGTGGATAGTGGTGATACGTAGTAGTAGGTAGTAGTGGTGCTGGTAGGGAGTAGTAGTAGTAGTAGTAGTAGTAGTAGCAGCAGCAGCACTAGCAGCAGTAGTAGTAGTACTCGTCGTCGTAGTAGGAGTAGGAGTAGGAGTATCAGTAGGAGCAAGGAGCAGGAGTAGTAGGAGTGGTGGTGGTGGTGGTGGTGGTAGTCGTAGCAGTAGTTGTAGGCAGTAGTAACAGTAGGCAGTCGTAGGTAGAAATAGGAGTAGTAGGAGCAGTCGCAGTTGCATCGGGAGAGGAGGTAGTCGCTCTGACAGGTGTTTTGGTAATCGTTGTAGTGGTCGTGGTAGTGCTGGTAATGGTGGTGGTAGTGATGGTGGTGACAGGGGTGGTCGTCATCGTACCTGCATGCGTGAGGACTTCCTGGAGACACCTGCGATGCAGGGAGCTACCATCTGACGCTTAGAAGAATGTGAGTTGTATGTGAAGGCTTCCCATCGGGTTCGGGTATACAAATGCAACAGTCACACCTTCCGCAGAGTGGGGTGTTTTGCACATTCACACCCCTTGAGCTCCAGCATGGTCTTGAACTGTGTGGGCACCAGAGCCTTTAACTTAGACTTGGAGTTTCTGATACTTCCAGCAACCTTCAAGTTTAAGTTACACGGCTGTCCGATGTTGGGCTTTGAGGCCTCATCATGATGAATGCCGTCATCATCGGCCTCGAGACGGATTTTCCGGAGAAGTTCCCATGGGACATTGTAGAAAACATTTTCCTGGTGTTCTTCACAATGGAACTGGTGACTTGGAGCAGGTTTAGAAGTCAGGCATGCATGCCCCTATTTTTGAGCAAGACAGGTCCATGAACGTTGTTGGATTGTTTCGCAAATCAGGGGATTCGAATATATTGCCTGGGACTCAGAGCAAGCGAACACAGCCACTGCTTCGAGTCTCCACTCGTGTGTGCTCAGCTTCAGGAGTGTTTCTTCTCAGCGCCTGAGGTCTGGGTGTGTTCAAGTTCTTCAACTTCCGCAACAATCCCGACATTGCCTGGAATTTGTTCGACTTTATGCTGGTGTCGATGGGAGCCTCCTGGTCGATGAATGCTGCAACACCACAGCCTCGGCCAGTCTAGTAGGTCCCGGTGACAGAATGAAACCTGTGAGCCGAAGTGGCTACCTCCGACGATGGAGTTGTACAACATTAGGGTTCCAGTTAGGGTGGCTGTTTGAAGAATTGCCTGTTGCTGTATAATTACCGTTGTTTCGCTGTTGAGGTCCTGAGCCTGGGCTTGCACTTCGTCGCAGGATCCGAAGACGTTCTGGCCAGGTTCGCCAGCTTGCGTATGCTGCGTGTCCACAACTGTATGCACGACACCTGCTTGCAACAAGCACGGGCCTGGAGGAACGCCACCCTGTTCCGCATCATCCGTTTATTGAGAATTCTGCGCGTGCTGCGCATCATCCGTAGCTTGCCAGCAACTTCAGAGCAGCAACACTCACAGAAGCCTGGTCTGCATCTGCAGCTTGACTATTTTCTTGACGACGCTGCCCTTCTGACTTTCGCAGGCATTGTGCGGTTCCTGAAGCAGCTCTACCTGCTCGCATACGGGTTCATCGAAGGAACCATGGCCGTCCTCTGGGCTGCTTGCCCTTTCGACTAGCCCTGAGGGAACAGCCATACATAAATGCATACATATAGATAGGCAGATAGTATGATACATACGTGTGTGAATATATATATATATATACACATGTGTGAATGTGCATGCACATGTGCATGTATGCATGTATGCAGGTAGGTGCTGTCCGTATTGCATGCCTGCGTGTATGTGGGTACATAGGTCGACGTAGGTTCATGTTACATAGGCATGTAGGTAGGTATGCAGGTGTGTAGGTAGGTATGCATGTAGGTATGTCGGCATGCAGGTATGTATGTAGGTATGCATGCATGAATGCATGCATGGGTGGGTTTCCTGGGTGAGAGGGTCTGAAGATGCGGGGTAAGCACACACGAATAAATGGGTACATGCATCATATGCAGTATGGTAACACCTCCCTCCCGGAAACAACCCCGCCTGCTTCCATGTTAGTCTCAATCCTCCGAAACGCAGTCACGTGGCGCTTCTTGCACTGAAATCTCACCCTGTAGACAATCCTAAGAGAATTAGACCTCCCCATAAGTCTTGCTTGGGAGACTGCGCGACGTCAATCTCGGAAGTATTGGATTTTGTCAGATATGGCATTGCAAGTGGAGATAGGATACATCATTTTCCCAGAAGGTGCACCTAGGAGGTGTGCGCATATACATATGGACAAGTTGTCATGGTGTCACACTCTCGCGTCTGTTCCGATGCCCGAGCACGAACCGCCCGGATCGGGACACGGGCGTGCGGACAGCCAGCGTCCGGACCGGGACTGCCCCACACGCGGGCCAAGGTGGACCTGGAGTCAGACCCCACGAACCCGCAACAAACACGATATCCCTGCAGTCGATATGTCGCCACCATTCGCGCCCATGCTAAGATGGACAGATAAATGTACATGCATGCATGTATGCATACATGCGTGGTACATAATCGGCCACACACAATGTCACGTTACGTTACATGTCGTTTCATTCCCATGCATAATCACATGCAGTACGCATTTACGCACATCTACCTGCCTGCCTACCTACCTACCTGCCTGCCTGCCTGCCTGCCTGCCTGCCTACCTACTTAACCTACCTACCTACCTACCT